CATCTAAGGACAGCGGGCCTTAAAATTCAACATGATTGAGCGCCTACTATTGTGCGATGATCCGCCTGCCGTTAAACTTGATCTACATATTAAAACACCCCAACACACCAACGTTTGGGCGTGAACCCATCGTCGGTTTGGACCATACGGTCGAGCACCATGTGGAAAAATGTTCTATTCATCTCTAAACGTTAAATTATCGACAAGTGGATGAAGGGTTAAACGAAACGGGATTCACCCCAAACTTGGGTGTTGGGGTTAAAATATGTAGGATCACCGTTTAAGCGAGCGGATCACTGCGCACAATGTAGCTCAATCATGTGATTTTAGGCCGCGTTCCTTAAGATGAATTATATAAGGGCGTCCTTAGGAACACTTATATATATATATATAATATAACTATATCATATAATAATATATACTATATATATACTATATCAATATACTATATATATATCATATATATAATATATATATATTGGATATGCTTGGTAGTGAGGTGGCAGCAATCTCTTCGGCACTAGTTGCAAATAGGGGGACCAACATTCACATATGGGCTTGAGGAGTGCATTGACGGATATCAACGCATTTGAAAATAGTGGAGGGGATTATGCTAGCTGTCATTACGAAGGCACAAATTTTTGTGCTGGTACAAGCATACTATATTTTCTGCATATATATAGTATACATACATTTGAATAAGTGACGGGGATTATGGTTTTTATTATTTTCAACCTACTTCATCTACGAAGCACAAATTTTTTTGTGCTTGTACAGAAGCATAACCTATTTTTTTCCTCATAATATATATATATATATATATATACTATATATATATATATATATATATATATATATATAATCATATCATATATAATATACTATACATACATTTTCTCATAAGCTGATATATTATATTTATATATATATATATTTATATATATATAATATATATATAATTACTATACTATATATATAGGTATATGTATATGTATGTATATGGTAGTATAGCATAATACATATACATACATATCATGTATGTGTATATATATAATATACCTATAACAATACATCATACCTGCTATCATGTGTATATATATACATATCTATAACTATATAATATATATATATATATATATAATATATATATATATATATCATACTATAATAACTACTATAGTATAGTATCATATATACTAGGATACTGAGATTTAATGAGTATCCCTGTCATAGGAGGGGGGATCTTCTTCTATGACGGCCCTCTAAAATCACATAATGCAGCCGAGCATTCGTGGATGACTCCGCCCGCTTGAACTTGAATCTAACATATTTCTGAAACCGACAAACCAAGTTTGGGGGTGAACCCGTCGTCGTTTGATCCTCCATCGAGCCATGTGCAAAAGTCTATTCATTCAAAACTCGTTAAAATGATACGAGTGGATGAAGGTCCAAACGACGACGGGTTCACCCGCAAACTTGTGTGTTGGGGTTTTAGAAATATGTAAGATCAACGTTCAACCGGAGCGATCATTTATATACCGCTCCAAATCATGATGGATTTTAGAGGCAGTCAGTAAGTGAGGAAATCCCCTCCTATGAACAAGCGATCCCATTAATCTCTCTCTCTCTTCCTTCTCTATATATAATATACTATATATATAATATATATATATAATATATATATAATAATATATATATATACTACTATATGGAAATTGTTCCCTACAGGTGGAGCGCCTCAGATAGTCATCTAAAGGACGCGGGCCTAAAATACACATGATTGAGCGCTACTATTGTGCGATGATCCGCTCCGTTAAATTTGATCTACATATTCAAAACCCCAACACACCAACGTTTGGGGGTGAACCCATTCGTCGTTTGGAGACCCTCACGTCGAGCACATGTGAAAAATGTTCTATTCATCTCTAAACGTTAAATTATCGACAAGTGGATGAAGGGTTAAACGAAACGGGATTCACCCCAAACTTGGGTGTTGGGGTTAAAATATGTAGGATCACCGTTTAAGCGAGCGGATCACTGCGCACAATGTAGCTCAATCATGTGATTTTAGGCCGCGTTCCTTAAGATGAATTATATAAGGGCGTCCTTAGGAACACTTATATATATATATATAATATAACTATATCATATAATAATATATACTATATATATACTATATCAATATACTATATATATATCATATATATAATATATATATATTGGATATGCTTGGTAGTGAGGTGGCAGCAATCTCTTCGGCACTAGTTGCAAATAGGGGGACCAACATTCACATATGGGCTTGAGGAGTGCATTGACGGATATCAACGCATTTGAAAATAGTGGAGGGGATTATGCTAGCTGTCATTACGAAGGCACAAATTTTTGTGCTGGTACAAGCATACTATATTTTCTGCATATATATAGTATACATACATTTGAATAAGTGACGGGGATTATGGTTTTTATTATTTTCAACCTACTTCATCTACGAAGCACAAATTTTTTTGTGCTTGTACAGAAGCATAACCTATTTTTTTCCTCATAATATATATATATATATATATATACTATATATATATATATATATATATATATATATATAATCATATCATATATAATATACTATACATAATATATATGGAAGAAGTGTTCCCTAAAGTGACGCCCTTAGATATCATCCCTAAGGGGACGGCCTAAAAATCCACATGCATTGAGCTCGACATTATAGATGATCGCTCCTCCGTTAAACTTGATCTACACTATTCTAACACACCAACAACACCAAGTTTAGTGGAACCCCGTAGTCGTCTTGACCTTCATCGCACCTCACATCAATTCTTAACGGCTTCTTCGAATGAAATAGAACCTTTCACCATGGCTCGACGTAGGCGCTGCAAATGATGATGAGTTGCACCCGTGCGTCTTTCCGCCAAATTGCCATGGTGTTGGGTCTTATAGAATCACGTGAGAACTCAAGTTCTTAAGCGGAGCGTCATGCCCATAATGTAGTTCAATGCATGTGATTTTAGGCCTGCGTCTTAGAATGATTAACTAATGGGTGTCACCTTAGAACACTTTCCATATATACTACTATATATTACTATATATAAGTATATATATATCTATTATATATATATATATATATCATATAATATAATATATATAGTATATCACAGCTGACAATATCATTTTGGCAAATTGGGCGGCGCTGGATAATCCCGTGTGAGGCCCTCCTGCTTGTCACCATTCGGGGCGGGCTGGTAGCTTGTATTGCAAAATAAGCTGCTAGCTCATATCTAGTATTCTTATGTATATATATAGATATATAGAGAGAGATTAATGGGTATCATTGTCATAGGAGAAGATTTCCCTCCTTGTCACCCATGTGACACAATCACCACCATCCTCATAAAGTAGGCACAAATCCCTACCAACTCACACACTCTCTCTCTCCTACTTTATGAGGATGGTGGGGATTGTGTCACATAGGGGTCAAGGAGGAAATCCCCTCCTATGACAAGGATACCCATTAATCTCTCTCTATACCACATATACGACAATGAGGAAAATCTTCTCCTATGACAATGATACCCATTAATCTCTCTCTATCTATATATATATATATATATACACACACAAACACACATGGCAATAAGAACTCAAATTAATGGAAATGACATTATCTCAAATTGTATGAGGTCCAAAAAATCCAAGAGTTCTCTGCATCTCCAATAGAAGAATCTGCAAGTACCTACAACTTGCATAACATATTTTCATTAATATAAAATAAAATAGTTAGGATTAAAGATAAAATATTCAACACTCATATCTACATAGATGCTAGCTTAATATAAAATAAAATAGTTAGGATTAAAGATAAAATATTCAACACTCATATCTACATAGATGCTAGCTTAAAAACTAGAACTCTTTTATCCTGAAAAACTAGAATTCTTTATCAAGAAAAGAAGTCACATTTTGCTTCTATACTCATCCATTTATTTCACAACTCTTTTATTCTACTAGAGTTTAGATGCTGCAAATGTGCACGGAACTTACTGCACTAGTTGAAAAAACCATTCTTCTTCTACTTACACCCACAACCTACTTTGCAACTTAACTATCTTATTCATTACACTTCTGACATGAAAATTTATTGAGATGATCATCCAAGTCTTTGGATGAAAAGGGAGATCATTACCCTTAAGAGGATGTTTGCTTGCATGCAAGTAAAAAATGAAAGTGAGAAAATGACTTGATTTCAACATTATAGGTGTTTGTATACATGTAAGTGGTGACAAAAGTAAAATACAAGAAAGTTGTTACATATGATTTAATACAATTTTAACTTCTCCTAAAAAACTTGTGAAATTACATGAAAATGATAAAAATGTAACCAATTTTAATTAAATAATTTTAATTCCATTTTATCACCTTCCTCATCCCCGTCATCCTCATCTACATCATCACCATTAACATCCTCTTACTTTTCACGAAATAATTCCCCCTTCATATTCAATAGAAGGTCTAATTCCACTATTTTATATGAGTGTTTCCAAATTAGCTTGAGTGATTACCTACACATAAATAAGCCAAGTCTAGTTAAATTCACTAATGAATACCAAATATAAAATATTTTCTTACTGTACGTATTGTATACTTTTTTAAGCATGATCAACATTTCAGTGAGATATATTAAATATTATTATGGATTTTTATCCATTGATGGAATAAATTTCTGCGAGATCGTCTATGTTTATAGAGATGACAGAGAATAGAGATTGAGAAACGAACTACAAAGGATAAGAAAGAGGAAGCAAAGTAGAAGAATTCTACTTGAGGGGATTTTAAGATAGCATGGTAGATGGAAAATTCCATCTAGCGTAGGGTTCTCCATCAAGAAAGATAATAAAAAAATTCAAACATACATGAAAGAAAACTTCCGCTCATTAATCTATGTGAATGACTATTCAGATTTTTAGTAAAAAAGAGCACCAATGGAAACTTGATATACAGCCACATAGAGAAAACACAAACATCCATCATAAGTTCAAATTTTATAACAAGCACATTAAAAATTAAACATATAAAAAATTATACCTTTCCATTGAATTCTGTAGTGACAGCTTCAGTAATGGCAACTTCAGTAACCCTCTCATGAAATTTTTGCACCCTCGAGTTATTATTACACTTCCTAAAATTAGCCGGTTAGCCGGGTCTCTAACAAAATCCGACTCTGCATTCCTTCGTAAACTTTATGAATACTTGTCGAAGGTTAGGATGGGTGGTAGGCATTCGGCTCCTATGCGAACGCTCAACTTATCCACAAACTCATAAAATCAAATCTGTCAAAATACGACTAAATGGCATAAATAAATATATAAAAGTTTCACTTACCACCAAAACCGAGGTAAAACCGCCCATATAACCACCTCTAGATGGCTTTTCCTAGGACCTCTTAGTGATAGTCTTCCTAGCCTTTTTCATTTCAGTATGCAAGACATTATATACAACTTCAACCCAATTATACTCCTTAAGAGTTTCCAATTTTTCAGCAATATCTAAATGCAAACAAAGGATAACCCTAATTACTTTAGGGGCATAATTTAAAGCCTATAATGAAAGCCACAAACATTTGTGGCAAAATGGGATCTCTACGCTTGGCCATCTCCTCGATAAGTTCAGTCATGCTATCTCGTCTAGCAGAAACAACCTTCTTCTTTCCATCATCAAATTTTTTTTCTTTCCTCTTCTAGTCCTACGCTTCCCATTCTCCTCAATTTCTGCCTTTGTCCTAAATGAAAGGACATGTTTATAGATTGTCTCACGATCACTTCTATGGACCTCGTATCTATTATAGATCCTCCCATCGAAAGCCCCGTAATCCACCCGACATCCTCAACACCAAAGTAGGTCCACTTTCCTCCAATTTTGAAATTGCTTTTTTCAATATCAAAAACTTCCAACAAGCAATCAACTAGAAATGGCTGGATTGGAACATCAAGAACATCAATATATCCATAGAACGGGTACCTCGAAGGGCTGTCTGATGATCCTCTGACAAAGTGGACGAAATATGATTGTGAATTAGGCCCCGAAAGTAGACCACATTGGACGGAATTCTGACTACCTCCATAGTCCATAGCTTCACTGCAAACAAATTAAAACATGAGGCAATTTTAGTATTGTATCAATGAAAGTTATAACAAACTAATAAAATTATCTCATGATATGCTAATAAAAGTGAGAACATTCAAAACCAACCAGACAAATTAGTTTAAAAAAGTATAATCATGGTTGGATTTGTGTTTTTGGTCTTTTACTCTGCACGCTAGGTCCTGAGACATACCTCCAGGGGTGAAATATCCAATCTGATATTTACAAAGCTATAACAACATTATTGATAATTGCTTTACAAAGCTTTGTACTGGTAATTGCTATACAAAGCGATAGCTTTAAATTCTTATGTGCATTTTTGCTTGTTTCATAGTTGGTGCGCTATGTGGTTTATACATGATAAGATGATCAGGACTTAGAGCTTTAGTTACTTGTTTCATAGTTGGTGCGCTATGTGGTTTATACATGATAAGATGATCAGGACTTAGAGCTTTAGTTAGATGAGAAAGAAACTTGCATATATAGGGACAAATCAGAGCATCATCAATGACCACATCAACAATGATCATATAATAATTAGTATTAAGAGGAGAAATACCAAATATATATATAGTCTACTTTTGAATAAGATGATATTGCATACAAATATTGCTTGCAGACCTGATCTCATTGGGTTGAAGAGATAAACATATCATACGTGAAGGATCCCTATTTCTTGAGTGCAACTGAGAAGCAAGATTAACCTTTATCATACTTTTCTAAAACCGAGTATCATGCTCATATGTAGGACTAGGATCAAATTGTTATAGTGTCCTGCTCCTATGTAAGTTTAGCATCAAATAGCTTTGTACATAGCAATTAGTTCCACATACAATTCATATCTAAGATTCCTACAAGAATTAGTTCCACATCTTAAGAAATAAAAACAATGAATGAAATGAAAAGAATAAGAACTAATTAAAAAAAAGAAATAAGAACAATGAACTTTACAATATGAACAAGAAATAAATCTAACTAAATTGCAAAAGAAATAAAAATACAAAAAAGTAAATCTACTCTACAAATTAAAAATGCATAAAATAAAGACAAGAAAATAAATATACTCTACAAGACATGAATGTAAATCTAAACTAACAAGCAATAAGAAAGAAATTACTACAAAGAAATAAAAGAGAAAAATAAAAGCAAACTTTCAAATTGATCTTCATCTCCATCATCATCATCAAACAAAGAGAAGAAAATTTAAAGTGGTGAAAAAATTCTTTTATTGATTGCACCAAAAAGTTATAATTTTTGGAAGGTCTTCTCAATTAAGAGTAACCCTCCTCTCCAAATGGAGTTATAAAATTTTTCACACCACTAACCCCTCACTCCCTACCCCTATTTATAGTAAACATCAATGAATGTGAGCCATTGGATCGAAATATTATCCAAATATCTTGAATTTCAGCCTTAGATTCATAACAGACTGACGATGTTATCGATACCAGCATCGATACGGTCATCGATGCTGGCATCGATGTGCAGCTTCTTCCATTTGTAACCCGCAGATTTTCACATTGTTTGGTTTTGGGCTTTTGGCTTTTAGGCTTGATGCTTGTTTTCTTCATTAATATTTCTGGGCTTTTGATGAGAAAATGGACCTTAGGCTTTATTTTTGATTAAATTGCAATTAAAAATAAAAATAATTATTAGTGGTATATTTATTCACATAAAATAAATAATAAGGATATAAAATTATAATAAAAATATGGTTATCAAATACCCCCACACCTAAACTTTTACTATTCCTCTAGCAAAGAAGGAAATTAAAAATCCTAACTCGCTTTCGTAGGAATCGCAGTTGTATTTAACGCATACAACAAGCTTTTAAACCCCTAGGTTATCCTAGTGGACGAGTTGTAGTCTCGTGAGGGTTTGCAGTGAATATAACCACAAAATTCGGTCAACTTGCCAATTTAAAAAAGTCAGTAAATAACTAATTTTCTTTGATATATTTAGACATTCTAATTGAATCTAGTTATTACTCAAGAAAACGTTTTTATATATAAGTCCAAGGTAAATCTCCTAGAAAATCTTTTCATTATAGCAATACAAAACAAAGTCAAACTTAGAAATTAATTTAAAAGTTTTTGAAAAGAACATGCCTTACTCTTTGTTTTAAATAACTTTAAAGTCTCTTGATCAAAAATTATTTTTCAATACCATATATACAAATATAACAATATATATAAAAAATGGTTAGTGTTATCATCATTTTTTTCACTCTTTATTTCTTCGTGATTTTTTTTTCTTCAATCGGGCTTTCTAAGTGATCATTTAACGAGTTTTAGGTCAATGAATCTCAACCCAATTGAGCTTAGGTCATTAAGTATAGAAATACTCATTGGGCTTAATTACTCAGTCAACTTAGGCTTTATAAGATAGAAGGCTTAAGTAAAGTATACTACTTTGAAAAATTATTTCTTAAGAAATTTATTTGGAGTTATTATAAAAGGTGGACTTGAGTATATCACTAACTAGGAATTAGAAAATTTAAAATCTACCAATTAGATCAATTATTACTTAACTCTATTAATTTGGTAAGTGACTTTTTTTTAAATTTAACTAATAAAAGACAAATGCTAAAAAAAATTACTGAAACAAAGTACTAACTAGCAAAATACAAAGAAAAAGCTAACTAGCCTACACCCATTGTTTTAAATATCCCCGACATGGCCTGATATATCCCCCGATATATCCTTTTACAGGGCTTGCCGCAACCGATATGGTCTTTAAATATCCTTTACCGTTTTTTGGCTATTTTGAGTGATAAATCCCCGTTATGGCCGATATATTAGCCGATATGTGGACCAATATATCTTTTTATATAACTTATTACAAAATAATATACCGTGTTTGAAATTTTTGGGCGAGATATCAAGATTTTCCCATTATATCAAATGACATTTTGCCCTAAAAAAAGCAGATCGAATGTTGCAACGTTGTTTTACACTTTTGTTTGTTTTAGAAGGTTGATTAGTGATCCTAAACATATATTATTCATAGTTTGTATGCTTAAATTTCATTACATATGTTGAGATTACATTTTATTGCATTATACTATGTGTGCAAACATTCATTATGGCATTCCGATATTTACCACATATCCCCGATATTTCCCCGATATCCGCAATCCGATATGAATTTTGGTCATCCGATATTTCCCCGATATCCGATATTTAAAACCTTGCCTACACCCCACACCCAGATTTTGCATTGTCCTAAAAGCAAATACTAACAATATATCACAGTTTATAAGTACATGCCGAAATAAAAATCAAAGTCTGGGTAAAAAGAACATCTCTCACTGCTCATCTCCAAATAGATCGTCATCCACATCATCAGCGGCAGCTGCTGAACTCGATCCTAAATAGATCGTCATCCACATCATCAGCGGCAGCTGCTGAACTCGATCCTACCTCATCCTCTCCTGGGAAATCATCAGACTGAAGCGGTGTGATAAAAACTCTAAAGCTCAGGTGGAGGTCCAGCTGTATCTCCATGTTCCCTCTGCCACTCTCTCGCCAAATATGCTAAGGTTTCGGTGGTGTAGTTCATCTGACCCTGCATCCTGTGCATATAAATCTGCATCCTGTGCATACGACTCCGCATCCTTTCCAACTCTTCACGAATGGGATCATGTGTAACTGGTTGGTGCTGAGAGGATCTCTACCTAAAGAACCGATCTGATCTCGCCCTGAAATGCTCCTCACAATCTGATCATTTAATAACCCCTTCCCTGGTTCTAGTCTATCATCTGCAAATACTGGAACGTGAAATCTATGGCAGAGTCTAGTAATGAAATAAGGGTAAATGAGATGAGCTCGTGATGCAGACAGTCCTGACCCAATCCAACACATCCTCCACTGATGAGCGCATCCACACAAATATAATCCTCGTTATATCAAAATGCTGACCAGTGGCTATCCAAAAAAGAAGAGTATATTGTGGATGGTAATGACAGAGTATGCAGTGGTGAGTTTCAAATCAAAGTTCAGGAAAAGATTAAGTAATCTGTATTCTGGTTTGAGATTTCCTGAACCGAAACTAGATGTAAAGATCCTCCCACACAAAGTCATGGACATGTTATTATATTCTGGTGTACCAGGCTGTAATGTGGAGGCTAAGTGAAAATAATCTGGTACATCAGTCAGTAGTTCTGCAAGATCAATGGTAGCATGGATAGTGGGAAGATCAAAAACCCTAACACCCCTCACTACAGAAAAAGCTGAAAATTCTCTATCTGGATCAATTTCCCATCCAGAATAGAACTCATGGACTAATGAAATATTTGCTTTCTCTAGGGGTTTAGTCATCATGCCGTGAATACCTACTGCAGTTAACATGGTAAGTGTAGATTGATGTCTGCAATGCACTGATCTGAAAACCTCTCTCAAAGTGAACATTAAGACCCACAATTCTGGCCAGAATTATGGGTCTATCTATGTCGGTATCAGAAAGTTCTTGAGAAGATGATGAATCAGCCCGGGATCTCTTTCTGGGTGGCATCTACAGAAAAAAAAAAGAAAAAGGAAAAATAATATTTTAATATCAAAATTCCAAAAAAATAAATAAAAAATTTGTGGGTAAGCTATAACAAAATCTGTCAAAATCTTAGCTTAACCGTTTTGTGGATAGGGACAAATTTCTTTAGAAAAACAGTGACATATCATCTCATGTTGAGATAGAATTTGTGGGCAACTATACAACCATTTCTTGACCTTGTCCTTTAGAACAAATGGAATAAATCAGAGTTTGATCGCATTTTCAGATAGTTCTCTAATTTTAATCATAAGACACACTTCCTCAAACTCGGAAATAAAGATATAAGCATCTTCGGTTTCATTTCTTACGAATTTTGGATGCATGATTATATAATACGGTCTAAGCTCAAAATTAGTTCCGTTTGCTTCAGGGAGCTTAATGCAAGAAGGGATTGCATTCCTAGTTGGATAACATATATCTTGGAGAACAGGTTGATTAGTCATTTCTTCAATTGGTTCAAAACGAATTAAACGATTGGTATTATCCATAATCCAAGTTCGCATACACCAAAACAAATTCTTTTTTTAAAATTTTTTCCTAAAAGAAACTAGAGTTATAGTTTTTTTTACTAAAAGATTACAAGACAAAAAGAAGAAAAAGGAAAACCTAACTAAAACAAATCAAAACAATTTACTAGTGAATCTCTCAACCGAGGCTTAGTTCCTTTATAAATCAGGAAAATTATTTATTAACTGCCAAATTTATCTAAAAATTTCTCTGCGACAATGATCTTTTCTCCTTCGCTAGAAAGTTGAAATTACCTCGTCGTGATGCACCAAAATAAGAGCGCGAGAGGCGTGTGATGCCAAACTAAGAGGGAGAGGGTGCCTTTATGCCATCTAGAGAGATTAAGGATAATTATTTACCAGAAATTTGAGATCGATTTGTGGGTTTTGAGAATCGCTCTTAGGGCTCTACAGGGATCGCTCTATTTGGGAAAGTGAAATGGAGGAGAGAGAGAGGAAGAGACCGGTTATATTTGGGGATGAAGGGTAGTTTGGAAATTTTTAATTTATTGGGTAAATATAGTATAAAGAATGAGGGTATCATACATGTTAGGTTTAAAAATAAGTGGGATGAGATATATTGGGTGCATTGATGTTTGGAAAAGTGGGTGGATTTTTAAATAGGTGGGGGTAAAATTTTGGGTTAAAAGAGAGACAAGTTAAAACAGACTTGAAAACATTCAAAAATCTTTTCAATAGTAAACAACCGATGGGTATTTTTCTTCCCTGAACAAGTACCAAATTTTCAAATAACTAATGAATAAAGCAACCAAACATCCATCTCGATTCACATTGATTAACTAATCGGTTTCTGCACATTTATGTGTAAGTTATAAATTGTGTAGACACTCGAAACTTCCGTCTAATGATTTGACATAAACTTTTGTTCTTTCCTTTGAGTCACCACCCTTTGTTCGTCCACATAAGAAAATTCAAAACTAGTAATATGGAAAAGAGAACATGCGAATCCATCAACCAAAGTCATAAACATGCCATAATAACAGGAAATTAACCACAGATTATTATGGTGGCAGTATATACTATTCTAACAGTAATTAGATGCAAATAAAAGTAATATCATATCCCTTATAATGAATTGATAGACTGGAATCTGAACAATCTTAGAATAACAAAGAAAAAATCACCTTTTTATTATTTCCAAAACCTCCCAATCCGAGAACTTGATTTCATCACCATCGACATCATCCATCATCAAGAGTGTAGCGGAGAAGAACAGAACCATCCTCCCTAATTGCATGACAAATTCTCATTAATAATCTTGAATATGATTTTTTTTCTTTGTGAGATTGTAGAGAACAGAGAATTTTGGATGATATGATAGATGAGAAATGAGTTGAAGCTGCGGGCAGCGGCTGAGATATAAAGCCCTAGAGTATAACCGTTCCGATTTCCTCATTTCAATCTATACCGTCCGTTAGATCCAACGGTGTGCGTTATAGGAATTTGAATGGCAAACTTGCAAATAAATCTGAACTTCACTTTGATGCCCGTCTTGACTTGTGGAGTAATGACTCGTCGCTCAACATCGTACGTGGTAGACATCTTGTGCACCCGTTTTTTTTAACTAGGCCTTGTATCATGAATGTCACTTAAATATTATAAAATTTTTCTGTATTGACACTTATATATCTTGACTTATTTTTTGTGGCGAAAGATAGCATATGTTGCTAAAAATTCAGCACGTTAGTGTACTCGAAGCTAGAAATATGAAAGTTTTCACCCGAATATGATACTTGCATGCTAATTTTTAGAGTTTTTTAAAGTATTAATTATTGTTATATTTGTTATTAAATCTACAAAAAATCTTTTTAAAACTTATATTAATTCTGTTTTGAATAGCGTTGTGATGCATTTAATGATAAATTTAACAAATATTAATGTTTAGAAAGTTGTAAAATTAACATGCGGGTGTACAAATTTTCACGTTTACATGATCAAAAATAACAAATGTCAGTTTTAAATAACTTATGATATTTATTTACTAAAAAATACCTTATAGCATATATGTGACAAAACAGGGAAAGTTTGTGGCATTTAAGTGTTATTTAGCCTTATAATTGCCTTAACGTGGAAACGATTTTTTTTGGGTCATACAACAATGTTTTTTTTAAGATAAACATGTCGACGTAACGCAAACCATGATATCAAAGTAGTCTAACAAACTATTCTAATGTATCAGGTTTGACTCTCCTAAGGAGCACCAACAAAAATTTAATTTCCTGAAATACTCGAGACCATGCATTAGGGGATGCCCCTTAGCCACGCCTTGGGCTTTGATACGCATGGTCCGTAGCATTGTAAGAAAGTTCCCTCGTCTAACAAAAAAAAAATTAGTTGAATTATTTTAACATAAACACAGCACCATTTCATTTCATAACTTCAAACACATTTTACCAAAACCATGTGACAAGCAATGACCATTATCTAGGGAATGACGTATTACTGCAATATTAGTTTAAAAATACAAACTTTTTAATAATAATAGCTTAAGAATTATGTTTAAACTGAACTACATGCCGATCAATTTAGAATAAACATGTAGCAAAATCACAGTAGAAAATAGTAAATCACCAACAACTTAATACGGATTTGAATTATAAATAATTCAACTAAGTATTTGGTGTATAAGAGTGATTTTTGAAATGTGATAATTCAAGAGTAAATTGGTGGTAAAACTTTGAGTTTATAAGCTAACATCTTGTATTTGGAAGTGAGTGAGTTTAAAATAAACGGGGTGAATCTTTAACCATACATGCAAAAAAACCATATACTATATTTGTGATATCGCAATATTAATTAAGAAAAGCTAAAAAAAATATTGATTTTAACCATTTGGTTTAAAAATATACCATATATAATCACTTTGGACAATAATATGTCAGCTTAAAGCAAATTATAACAACATACAATGTATATCAAACTAGTGAAATGTAAAGTGTTACAAAAAATTCAATGTATTTTTTTTATCTAACAATTTTATTGAAAGTGGGCGAGTTTAAAATAGCTATGGTTAAAAAAAAAACTTGGGGTTATTAGCCAAAAAAACCTTTTGGGAAATGCATGAGTTTAGAAATAAAATGCAGTAAAACTTTGGGTAGAGTATTTTGAGTTCAAAAGGTTTAAAAATAAATGAGAGTAAAACTTTGAGCTTATAGGCAAAAAAAAGTCATTTTTTTATAAATGGGGAAAATTTTGGGTCTCTAGACAAAAAGACTGAAGTCAGGAATAGATCCAGAAAAATTTTCCTATAAGGACACATAATCAATTATGCATAAAACTAATAATTTATATAATATAAATTCTAGCAATAAGAAAACTTATTTATATAGTAGTCACAAAAACATCAAGACATAACATTTTTTACTATTTTATTCATATCCGTACATGATTGTTTTCATTTTCACCACAAAAATTAGCAAAAAACCATAAAGCTCCAGCAACAATCCTTTATAGTTTTTCTCGATGTGGTCTCATGCTTTAATACATGTATGATTTTCTCATTTTCTACATTATCAAATATGTCTTTCTTAATATATGTAACTAAACAATCATTCAAATATTCATCTCTGATATGATTGAGCTTTTGATTCTTTATAATTTTCATGGATGAGCAAAACAATGTATGTAATAGGCACATTGATTCTCTTTCAAAATTAGACTTTTAAGTCCATTAAATTCTCATTGCATATTGTTTGCCCCATCATAGCATTCTCCCCTAAAATTTTGAAAGCTCAACCTATATTTTGCAAATACTATCTCCAAAGCTTCCTTAAGTGATAAAGCAGTTGTATTAGAAACATGAACAAGACCAAGAAAATATTCTACAACACACCCTTCCTTGTTCATATAATGTAAAACAATAGTCATTAGTTCTTTAACGGATATGTCGCAAGACTCGTCAATCAAAACTGTAAAAAGTTCATCACTAAGATCATTAATAATAGCCCAAATAATCTCCTCAGCAGCTGCACACAATATCCTTTTGGATATTAGGTGCTATTAGTTTTACATTCTCATGAGCACCTTTTAAAATCCTATTAATAGATTCATTATGATCAGCTAAAAATCATAAAAACTCAAGAAAGTTCCCCTGGTTATTTGATGTATCAGATTCATCACGGCCTCGAAAAGCTAATCCCTGATGTAAAAGAAATCGAATGCAATCTATTGTAGCAGTCAAGTGAATATGATACTTCATTTTTGCTTGATCATAATGTTTAGAAATTACAACTTCAATGTGTTGCTTTTGATTCATTAAAGATAGACATTTTCTCTAAGCAACATTATGAGCAATGTTAGAGGCCTAATATGAACTTGAAATCTCTCTGTTTTCTCTTTCTAGTTTTGAAGCCATTAACAATGAAAGCATCTCTACCCCCTTGCTCCTTTCGCATGAGGTAACAACATAAACAAAATGTTGCATCTTTGATATATTGTACGTAGGGGTGGTAAACTATCGAATCGAATCGAATACTAAGGTGTTTGTATTTGTCTTTGTTTAAAATTATCGAATTCGAATGCTGACTCTAATATTCATATATATATGGAGTTCTTCGAACTCGAACTTGAATACTTGGTATTTGATAAGTATACATGAATAAATATCGAATATCAAAGTATATTTATTTCACTAAAGAATTTAATTTTTAAATAGTATTTAAATTCATAAATAAAAAATATTCCTTTATGATATATGATGTGTATATATGATTTATTTAAATCAAAATTTTTATTAGAAAATAGATTTAAGATTATTTAAGTCTTAAAATTAGTACATAAAACTTAAGTAGAAATGGTAAATGGTTTGAAAATATGACATCATATGTGCAATAACACAAATAATAAGTGATCAAATTTTGAACGAATATTTGATAGGCAAATGAATCGAATATACATCTAGTTAAATTTTATTCGTTAGTAAACTTGAATACTAAAAAATATTTGTTTAGTGGTAAATGAACTACCAAATCGAATATGGCCGAATAGTTAATCGAACATTTATCGAACTATTTGTTAATTATTTGGTTCATTTCCACCCTTTAATTTGTACTCTAGCCAATTACCATACTCCTTGAACTATTCAGGATCGAAACGTCATAATTTCTTCCCAAAATTGCTTTGAGGAAACTTATGCGCTTGTGGTTGAAATGAACCTTTAAGTATATAGGCTCTTCGAATTTCTTCACGATCATTAGGATGATAATCTAACATTGTTGGACGTAGTCCATGATATACTATTAGATATTTCAAATTAACTTCCAGAAATTTGTAAAACTAAGAGTCCAATGAGTTAAGAAAACTCAGCAGTAAGCAGTAACTCTGCATGACAAAAGCAGTAACATAAAGGGTTTCCACACCATTAAAGGAAGCACATATAAAATGTTTCATATATATATATATATATATATATATATGCAGGAATAAGGGTATACTTGGGCCAAGATCTTGGTAGTGGATGTGACACATCTTGTCATACACATCACGACGCTTGAGTTGGTATGCTCCCATCTCTAGTGTGATGTTAGTGACAAGATGTGTCACATCACATACAAGGATCCTTGACCAAGTATACCCATTTTCTCTATATATATAATATAATATAATATATACTGAGATCAATGGTAGCCTTGTTCATATGAGTGATTTGCTCTACGACGCCTCTAAAATCACATATTGAGCGATCATTCGTGGATGATAGTCCGCTCGTTGAACTTGATCTATATATTGCTAAACCCGTGAAACCAACGACAGCCGACCCGCGAACATCCAAAGTTTGGGGTGAATCCGCTCGTTTGAGCCCTCCATCAGCCAATGTAGAAAAAGTTCTAATTTCATTCAAAACCGTTAAAATTGATACGACGTTGATGAAGGTCAAACGAGAACGGATTCACCTCAAACTGGTGTTTGGTTTTATAGAATATGTAAATCAAGTTTAACGACTGATCATCCCACAATTTGCAGCTCTAAATCAATGCCTGTGATTTTAACGTCGTCAAGAGAGGATATACCTCTAGACAAGATACGCACATAACCTCTCCTCTCTCTCTCTCTGCTCTATATATATAATAAAATAATAATATAATATATATAAATACATATATATATATATATATAATAATATTACATATATAATATATAATATTATATATAGATTAATAGTATCCCTCATAGGAGAGGATTTCCTCCTGAACAGCCTCTAAAAGATCAACAATTCGAGCCGACATTATAGATAAACCGCTCATGACTTGATCTACATATTCTATAAACCGAAATGCTCAATACAACACCAAGTTTGGTAGAATCCGTACCGCTTTGACCCTCCATCGAGCCATTG